TGTCCAAAGACATTCCTCTGCTATAGCTCCTTTCCCCATACTTTCTTGATTTCTCAAGAATCTTCATTCAACCAGGAAGCATTCTCTCTCTCTGTGGCATCTTCAGTTCTGTGTATGAACAAGTCCCCCTTTTCCCTGTTTAAAATAAATTAAATGAAAATTAAAAATAAAAGTGCCTCTAATCTGCTATTCTTTCACTGCTATGTTATTATTTCTCAAAAAGAAAGAGAAATTACATCTGTTCATTCATTTACTTGAGCATTAACTTCTCATCCAATGTTTAATACCTTTCAATATGGTTTCCGCCCACATGGATTCTAATCATTTTTAGCTCAAGAAAATGAATTCTAACAATGAATGCCAAACTCTGCAGCATGAGAATTAGTTTTGAGGTAAGATTAACATCCAGATTAAGCCCTTACAAACATAGCTGTATCCATAATTATTGTGCTTTAAGATTATTTAGTTGGAGAGGGGTATGGAGAAAAATGCAGGTACAAAAGGGAGGAAATAGATCAGAAAGGTTTGCCAAAAGAAAAGGCGGAAAAATGGGGAGCCTTACTGGCTCAGTCAGTAGAGCATGTAATGGTTGATCTCAGGATTGTGAGTTCAAACCCCACACTGGGCATGGAGTCTACTTAAAACAAAACAAAACAAAAAACTAGAAAGAGAGAAAAAGAAAGAGAGGAAGGAAGGACGGAAGGCAGGTAGGCAGGCAAGGAAAGGCAAAGCAGGGGGGAAAATGGCATGGACCATAGGAAGAAAGAGTTAAGAGCCTATCTGAAAATTATAGGGATGAGTGCCTTTGGGTGTTACATACCGTAAATGGGCTTTGTTGCCACTCTACACAGTGTTAACAATATTGTTTCAGATTCTTAATATCTGGATGATTGTAATAGTTGTCCAAATGGAATATCTGCTTCCAGATTCTGTTGTCTCCTTCTAGATTCACCTTACACGCTGATGCTATTGTCTGATTTTCTTTGCATATAGCAAAGATGAAGAAAATGTAAATGAATGAATAAATGAATGAAAAAAAAAGTACATAATCACTATGACCCTCACAAGGATTTCTTTTTAATGATAAATTATTAAAAAAAGAAAACTTATGTAAAAAAAAAAAATTCTACCAGAACCAAGAAGCCTTGACAATGGAGGGGAAGGGGAGCAGTGCAGATCATTTTAAGATACATTAGACCAAACAAAACCAAACAAAAATCTATTTCTCTTAAAACTCAAACATTAAGGGAGGGACTTTAAGTACACACACACACACACACACATACACACACACAATTTCCAGAATTTAATTTGCCTAATACTATTTTGCAGTCTGCTTTTCACAGAAAGCTAGAAGGTATATGGAAGTAGAAGTTTATTCAAGTCATAAGTGATGAAAGTCTCTTTCACCACTAATACACTGATTAGACTATAAGCAGCCAGTTAAAAGAGCAAAACGCTAATAAAGTTTGTGATTTCAGCTTGTTCTTGTCAGTAGATGATAGACACTGAAGTCAATCACCAATAATTTTATAGAATCACTCAGTTCCCAAGCCTCAATTTCCCAAAATGTAAAAATGCATTAAAATTACGAATATTTTACAATGCAATTTTATTATTAAAATCATTTTCTCTACACAATTATTCTGTTGGAGAAAACATGTGTATGTTTTTATTACTGTGTTTTCATTTATAATTTGACAATTTTGGTTAGTGTGAAATATATCAGCTTAGGAATTCTTTAATTCTTTTCATAATGGCACCATCACATTATTTTTTATTTCCGGTAGAAATTTGAAGTTGATATTTAGCTCTTAAGCTCATTTAGAACAATCTCAGCATGATTTGAAAAAGACTCTTGGGGTCCAACTCGAGTTGGATAATTTAGAAAAAATACAAAATGCTAAAATCATGTAAAAATAAATCTTGTGAAACGGGAATGAAAATGAATCAAGCTTTTGATTTTCCCTGTGGGAAATAACCTTAATTTTATGAAGAAATGAAATTGCTGGTGGTGCTTCAGGTAACAGTTTCAGCAGAAATTTTTTTTAAATGAATCTGTGAGACATAGGAAGTTGGACTACAATCAGTAAACTGCTCAGGTCAGGTTGAACCCAGTAATCAGCAAGGTCTTTGTTTAAATCTGCTTATGAATAAATTACTTTATTCATGTCAGTTAAAAAAAAAATCAGAGCCTCGGAATCATCTTGGCAGCTGTGCAGCATTTGATGTGATCTTTTTTTAGTAATAAATTATCAGATGGCATTAATTGCAACTTTTTCTTTTTCAAATGAGAAATGTCACCACTCTCCCTGCAGAGTCTTCATGGATCAGCAGGTTTCAATGCCAGGCGGGGAAGGACTTTTGTTTTTATTGTGCACTTCTCTATGTAAGCTTTACTTCAACTTTTGTTACTTGCCAAAGTTGAATTTTGTGAACCTTGTTTTATTATCATTGGTAATAGTCATATATTGTCTTTAACTCAGAATTGCCGTTTTTTAAAAAGATTTTTTATTAATTTGAGAGAGAGAGAGAAGGGTGTACTCATACTCCAGGGGAGTGGCGGGGGAAAGGGACAGAACGAGAGGGAAAATCACAAAGAGACTCCCCTCTAAGCGTGGAGCCAGAGGCGGGGCCCAACCTCATGACCCTGAGATCATGACCCTGAAACCAAGAGTCAGACACTTAACTAACTCAGCCACCCAGGCACCCCAGAATCACCATATTTAAGGCAAGAGTAAGCAAATGTTTCCTATAAAGAAGCAGGTAGTAAATATGTTAGTCCCTGTGACCATATGGTCTTTGCAGCAACTCTTAATTCTGCAGTTACAGTGCAAACACAGCTCTAAGCAATACATAAACAAATCTGCGTGGGTGTGTTTCAATAAAATGTTAATTATGAACACATGCCGCAGTAGGAATTAGGCCACAGTTTGCTGATTCCTGATCTAAAGGAGTATCTTTGTGTAGAAGCAGAGACTGAAGAGATTCAAAGACATAAGAAATATCAACCTCTTATGCTGTAGAATTCATTAGGTTTCAATGGCTCCAAAAATAAATATTACAACCAAATGAAGTGCTATAGAAACCCAGATTTGTTTTCACTTGTTGCTCTTATAGAAAGCTGTAGTTTGTTCATGAAATGATTCTTTTACTCAACAAACATCTACTGAACACCTATCATGAGACCAGTACTCTATCGGCAACAAGTGTGATGCAAAGTTCACTAAACCCGGATTCCTAGGACCTATACTGTGGCAAGAGGAGATATTCCAGACTTTCATACTGGAATACAAATAGAGTAGAATATGAAGAATAGAATTCAGAAAGTTTTTAGTTTTTCCCCACCACGCCTTTTATATGTGGTGCTAATGTAACACTACTACTTCCTATATCAGTGGGAGTGGGGGGAAGGGGAGGAGGAGGACTCTGATTTTGAACTTCATTTCATCACACCCACCCTAAGGACTTTAGAAGTCAGTGCTCCTTTTTGATTTTATTTTTACTTAAGAAAAAGAGATTCAAAATACTGACGTACTGTGTCATACTTCTTTATTTTGAGGTTAGGGAAGGACTAAGGGTTGGTTTCAATTCCTGTGTCTTACTTCAGTAACAATTAGAGCATTTCATTTCCCCTGAGGAGACAGCTAAGATAGATAAATATGCTTTAAAAACCCACTCATTAAAAACTCAAGCTTCTAGAGAATAGGGCATATAGACCTAAAAGAGCAGCAAATCAAACATTCTTTAAGACTGCTGTTACAACTCAACTCAAAAAAGTAATTTTTATAGATTTTTTTTGAAATATGCCATTCATATTTTCTAAAGATATTCAAAAAATATTTCCAATCAAATTTATTAACAACTTCTAACAGATGGGTAAATCACAAGAATTATTGAAGTGCTAAGATTTGAATTCATGATCTTGAGACATGAAACGCTTATCTCATCTAATGAGGAAAGCAAATTCTTTCTTAAAATTTGTAGATCAGAATAATGAAGATTTCACAGACTGTGAATCTATGACATCTGAATTCATAGTAATTCAGTAAAGTAGTTGAACTCTGAATTCCTTGGGAGATGTAACAATTAAAATTTTAAAACAATAGAATTTACTATACTAAAACAATTTTATGCAGTTTTCTCTGTAACTTTAAACAATGATGATTATTGACAGTTTAGGCAATTCATTGTGACCAAGTATGTGTGTGTCTTCCTAGGAAAACACAGTATTTCCAACCTGAAATTTTCAATATTTACTTTATTCTTTGGTAGCATGTTGAAATTTTTCATAATTCTTCCACATTGGTAGAATACCATAGGTACTAAATTATATACCATGCATCTATAAAACTGTCATCACACTAAAACAATAAAGTTATCAGATTCAAACATTCCTTACAATGCCTATAAATCACAACTTTTATTTTTTTTATTTTATTTTTTTAAAGGTTTTTTTTTTTTTTTAAGATTCTATTTATTTATTTGACAGAGAGAAATCACAAATAGGCAGAGAGGCAGGCAGAGAGAGAGGAGGAAGCAGGCTCCCCGCTGAGCAGAAAGCCTGATGCGGGGCTTGAACCCAGGACCTGGGATCATGACCTGAGCCGAAGGCAGCGGCTCAACCCACTGAGCCATCCAGGCGCCCCAAATCACAACTTTTATATATGAAATCAAGCTTATGCTTACAGACACTGACCTAGGAAACAGCTTAAGCTGGGGAGATGGATCAATAGTTGTGCTATTAAAATCGCATTAGTATAGAAACGAAATGATAAAACATTTTTGAGTTACTAAGTATCCAATGGCTAATCACATGAACGTAAGTAGCAAGTGATTGAGCCTCCATTGGGTTCTGGATCCCGCTGGAGTGACATGTACACGCTTTCTAATTCTTAGGCTGCAGTTTCTAATGCCGTCTGGTATGAGCCAGGGAGGAAATCCACAGGTGAGAAACGTCCTCTGGGAGATCTCATCCTTACTGCTGTGTCCTTCCCCAGGATCTGTCACTGCGAAGGGGATGAAGACAGCCCCCTCATCACACCCTGCCGCTGCACGGGCACCCTGCGCTTTGTCCACCAGTCCTGCCTCCACCAGTGGATCAAGAGCTCAGACACGCGTTGCTGTGAGCTCTGCAAGTATGACTTCATAATGGAGACTAAGCTCAAACCCCTCCGGAAGGTATGGTCTGTGCAGGAAATGGTTTGAAAGGGAGCACTGGCAACTGCAGGCATGTTTTAAAAATCCATTTCTTTCCCAAGTAGAATTTGGTAACATGCTAATATCCATGAAGAGTGCATGCCTTGTGCTGGCCTCAATATGTGAAACAGCTAAATGTTTGCAAATAATCCTTCATCTCTGTTTTATGTTCTAGGGCCTCTGATGTTTAGGTCATTCTTCAAAATCAAAAAAAGAACACACATGTGTGTGTGAGTGTATGTGTGTGATGTTTGTGTTTGTCTGAATATATACACACACACACATATGTATATATATATATATATATATATACACACACACACACATATGAAATAAATATACTTGTACTTTGATGTAATTGAACTGATGGAACTGTGAGAACATTGTATTTACTGAGGTCAATTCCCTGGAAGGTTAGGATAATAGATTACAGTAAATAATATGAACTGATCTAATTTCCTGAAAATCAAGCTTCAGGTAATAGAAAAGAATGTTTTCTTCCATAAGGAGTGAACTCTTTTTTGCGTTTGCCCTTATTTGGGAATTTGGTGTGATAGTTCATGTATAATTAGAGTAGATAGAAAAAGTATTATTTTCCATATTGTGCATCAAGCTGGAAGAGAGAGGTAAGTATATTTTTATCTACAAACTTGATCTTCAAATTCCTCACTTTTATTTTGCTAAAGAATGAAGGTTAGAATATGGGTCAAATATAGGTAGCATCACACTCAAAGAGAGGAAAGGATAATTTGTGAAGGATACAAATGAAGACAATGAACTTTATGTAATTCATGCCCTATAGCTGGGCCCCTGGATTTTAGGATGTAACTTATCTTTTTACCTTTTTAACTTGATCTTTTTAGGTAAAAAGATAAGTTACATCCTCACATATATGGATGCCTCAATTTCTAAAGGAGAGTATGGATACTGCAATGTAAATAATGATTCTACCTAGAGCTGCTTTTTCATTTAAATTAAACGCAAAGCAAAAGTGGATGGAAAGAACATTGCTTAGAAATAAACACAATGAGGGGTGCCTGGGTGGCTCAGTTGGTTAAGTGGCTGCCTTCAGCTCAGGTCACGATTCCAGGGTCCTCGGATCGAGCCCCACATCAGGCTCCTGCTCAGCAGAGAGCCTGTTTCTCTCTCTCCCTCTGCCTGCCACTCTGCTTACTGTGCTATCTCTCTGTCAAATGAATAAATAAAATCTTTAAAAAAAAAAAAGAAATGAAAAGAAATAAACACAATGAGCTCCAGAATGAGGAGAGATGTAAAGCAAACAAGAATATTCCAATAGGAATGCAATGGGTTGTTGCCATTGCAATTCTTCATTAATTCTGAAAATCATGGGGAGGGAGAAAAGCATTCCTTGCTTTCGCACAGCCTTGATTTTAAAAGTCTGCAAATGATTTATAGATGTCAGAACTGATGTACAGAATGCCTTTGGCTGGCTATGCACTGTCTTTTCTTAATATATGGGGTAACTTGAGTGACAAAAGGTGACGCTCTGTTCCTTCAGGTCCCAGAGCAATCAATGCCAGAAATAGAATGGACCCTTACTCTCTGCCCTTTGCTTCATCCATTGAACAGATACTATGTGATGTCTGGAGTAGCTAAATAACACACTGTGCTCTGTGATTCTATAAATTTCTCTTCATGGCCCTCAGGGACCTACAAATTATTTCAGAGTATCTGTATATTTCACCATGTTTTTTTTTTCCAACTTCTATCTATATAAAATGTTCATTTCAACTTTGTCAAATGTAATATTTCAATTTGAGAGCAACAATTTAGGATAATAAAATATTCACATTTTTCTCTTCTTCATACTATCTATCCCTCTCCCATTTTTGTATAATAAACAATACATGATGCTGTGTGGAACTTGAAAATTCTTATTCTACCTTCAGATTTTGTGGAATCATCCTTTATGTACAACTTTGATTCTTTCTTGGTATTCCATTCCCAATCACTTACAACCCTACCACACAATCCACTTTTTCTCAAAAAGGTTAGTTGAGAACCAGAGAAAGGCAGTGAATACATCCATCTTTTTTAATACTTAATAACAAATATGTGCGGCAATATAGTGGGCACCTACTGGCTATCGATTAATGATATACCCTTTCTTTTTAAAAAATATGTCCTTTGTCATAAATATTGATGAAGGACAGCATCTCAACATCCATCATTTTTAATAGCATTTTTATATCTACAGACGATGTTGGATCTAATCCAGAGGTTGCTTCCTGATAGCCCACAGATGTGTTTCATTTGACCCACAGGGCTTAACATTTGAAACAGATACCAACATTTAGATGTGTGGGTATTTCATGTAAAATTCCACATATTTGTGTGCTTGAAAAATCACAGAATCTGGCTCTACTGGAACTACATCCCCCTAGGACAACATCTATGGGGTAGCGAAGTAGAGATGAGTGAGGTTAGTGCCTTTAAAGGCTGTTTGCTTTCAAGGACTCCACATTTCCTAGCCCTCCCTCCGTGTCTGATCCCAAGACCTTGTGCCATCCCCACTCATCTGTCGCTCTAGAGTAAGACTGAATTTTCAGCTCCTGGTCTAACATATGAGTCCTGCACGTGAGAAACATGCATTCTGTCCCTGCCTTTATGATCTATGGATTTTAAAAACCTAAAAAAAGTGTTCCAAACTTTTACTTTCTCCTGGAAAACAGTGAGGCATTGGCATAATACGTAAATAGCAGTATTTAAAATGACTTCAGATTCTGAGGTAACACAAACTCTATAGATATGAGGCAGTTGTAAACTGTTCTAGATGGTTTATTTTGATGGCACTAAGATTCATCAACAGTTTTCTTTTGATAGATTTTAATTGGTCATTACAAATGACAGGTATAGCATTGCTTAGAATATATACAAAGTATATCCCATTAATTGCTCTCAACTCAGTAATTCCATTACAGTTTATAACGTTCTAAAGACCAACCACATGAAACAGTTAATTTAGCTAATGATTCTGAATGTCTACCATTCGCCAATATAGGCAGGAGATTCTGTTTAGAAGAAATGGCTTCTTAAGGTGGAAAGGTGCAAATCATAATCTGACGAATTTTGGGGCTTAATAATCCCTAAAGAAATCAGTAAAACCTTACGTCACTAATTGCCACTATTATTACACCAAAATCTTTAGTTAGTAAATTCAAGGTATCCTAATGTCTCCAAAGGAAAAATCTTTAAAATCTAAATGAAACAAAGGACTTATTTGAAAAAAAGCAGTTTTCATTATCTTAAAGTCAGCAGCTCACCTACTTTTATAACACTCAGTAAAAGCCGCATGAGTAACCCAGGGTCAGAAATAATTCCAAAGGCCCAGGAAAGATAAAAAGATAAAAATACACAAAGCAGTACAGTTCGGAAATGCATGCAATATCAGTTAGGAAGCATAAAATCTTCCCCTGTTCCAAAGCTGAAGAATTGCATTTGATTGCATCAGATTTGAGTCTGAATAGGAGAGACCAGTGAGTGGCTGGATACGAAGCTAAGCTTGTGAGGACAGCAAATGGTACCGACAACTTTATGTTCCCCCTAAATTATTTCTTTATACAGTTTCTCATATGCAAACCATTTGACAAATACATAATACAAAATATTCAGCTCTATGCATCCTTTTGCTCCTTGTCTCATTTTTAAATGAGACAGTGAATCAATTACCTTGGCTTTAGTAATGATTAGATCAAACCATAAGCACTTGTCATTTTTGTAGATCAAAACAGTTGAATATTGGAAACTTCATAACATTTAAGTTCTGGGTGAATTTATTATGCCAAGTAAAAAGGAATAATCATTTTTGGTATTTCTACACTTCCACCATAATGAATTCCAATGCTTCAGTTGAAATATTTACTTTTAAAAAAATGAAGAACTATAATTGACAAATGCTATGTTAGTTCCTTCCTTTCCCCTTAATTTGATGTAACATTTGTCTTTCAGAAGAGCCAGTGCAAGTTACCATAGCAGACCAATAGGCCATAGGTTATTATTGATTCTGCACTAATCTGGAGGTCTTGCAGGTCATAGTCTTAAAAGTAGATAGGATGGAGAATGAGGTCAGACTCCTAGCTAGGATCTTCTGAGTACCCCATCTGAATAACGCTACCTCATCATATGTAAGAAAATTAAAAATGCTTCATTTACTTACCATTCTGGAGAATTTGCAATTTTACTAATACAACTGCTCCATACTGAATTTCGACTCTGTGCCAGATATTTAGAATATATCAATTAACTTTTATCTTCATTATAACCCCATTTCATGTAGGCATGATAGTGCAGTGAGTTCAGTGAATGAGTGACCTGGGCATGACTGTAGGCACGTGAGAAATCTTACATATGAGAAAAAGGAGGCACCGTATCAACCTTACTTACTATCACACACCCCAGAGCTCCCGATTCTAAAGCTTATGCCCATGTACGGTGTCGTGCAGCCTTAAGTGGCTGACAGTCTCTCTCTTTAAGCACCAAAACCTCAGTTTTTATCCAGACCATTTCCAATGGAAATCTTCCAAAAGAAATCTTTCTGAAATAAAATTTTTTCTAAAATCTTTCTTTTTAAACATGGATATTTTACCCAATGTATTTTCTTAGTACTTAGTTACACCATTATGGATACATCACTTATTTTGTGGGTTGAAAACCTTAACTGGCTCCATAGTATTGAAAGCTGTTGATCTTTAACTTTAAAAATAAACTGTCAGTTATTTTACCAGCAAAAATGGGTTTAATCAGGAATAGCAGATAATTGCAGTTTGGGTCAAGCAAGCTACAGCAAAATCATAGCCAAGTCCAGAGAACAAAGGAGAGGGAGGAATGCTCTTTTATAGATGAAAAGGGGAAGTCCGGAGGGTTATTATAAAGAAAAGAGTCCACTGGAGTAAACTTGGAGTTGAAAGTATAGTGGCTTTTCTTTGATGGACTTGTGACTGTCTCATTGGCTAAGCTCCTGC